TTTTACATGCGTTTATGATTGATCACATGCATTTATAGTGCTGGACTATTACTTTAACATAGAATAGTTACATGATTAAAGAGAAGGAAGATATATCATTATATTGGGAACTTCGAACTAGACATTCCCAATTATTTGAGATATAAATGTGAAAATGTTTGACATTTGAAAATAGAATGTATGACATTCATTAGGAAATGCATTATTTTGGAGAAACAGCAACCCGAAAAATAAAAAATAAATAAATATACGTGTACTTTTTATTTTACATTATAAGTATTTTCATATGCAAACAGAAAAACGCCAACGGGATAAAGCCCGCGGTTGTGCACCACCTAGCAAACATATACGGCATTGCATCTAGAAATGTGCCAGACGCGATGCTGGATTTACTAACAGCAAAAGAGTCTACAAAGTAGACGCTTTTCAAGGAGTTGGCTAGACGCCTTTCTGAAGACTGAAAGGCTTGATTGATTGAATTGAGTCTTGCAGAATGTTCACCATCTGCTGGTAGACTTAATTCTTAGTAAATCAGTTCCAAAGTGTCATAAAAGGCTTGATCTTCAGGTGGTTAGAAGAGTGAGTGATGTGTGGCATAAACTTCTAATGCTGGGCATAAAATGCCCCCACCCCCCAAAATGACCCCTTTTTAGAAAGTAGACACCCCAAACTATTCGCTGAGAGGCAAGTTGAATCAATAGAAGCATTTATTTTATTTTACCACAAGTTTTTGGAAAATTAAAAAAATATATATACGTATATATATATTTTTTTTTACACAAAATTGTCACTTAAATGATTTATTGCTCACACATGCCTTGGGTGTATGTGGAATTACTCCCCAAAATACATTTTGCTACTTCTCCCGAGTATGGGGGTACTACATGTGATAGACGTTTTGGCAGTCTACCCAAGTACAGGACCCAAAATCCAATAAGCCCCTTCAGGCTTTTATTTCGTCATTACACTTCCTGACTACCTATCACAGTTTCGGAGGCCCTGAAATGCCAGGATAGCACTAAACCCCCCCAAATAACCCCTTTTTGGAAAGTAGACACTCCAAGCAATTTGATAAGAAGCATGGTGAGTATTTTGCAGATCTCGTTTTGCCACAAGTTTTTGGAAAATGAAGAAAAAAACAAACCTTTTTCTTTTCTTTTTATATTTTAAAACCTTATGAGGAAAAAACTAGATCTGCAAAATAGTAAATAAATAAAATCCAATATGCATATATAGTACCAAATGAATTTCACAAATCACATATGCGTGAGGATTAAAGTGACAAAAGTGCAAACATTTAATGCTGAGAGGTGTAATAGGTGATAATTAGGTGAGCACTTGATAGTGCTATTAATCTATACACATAAATAGTCCTTAAAATAGTCCATAAAAGAGCTTAAATGTGAAGATCCATTGGAAAAGATCTCAGGTAAGTGCTCAGTATAACCCAGGTGATGTGCCGTGAAATATGTTAGGAATACGCACTTGCCAGATGCACAACCGTAATGCGCATATATATATGTATATGTGTATATCTCCCTCTCAGGATGTCTGCCAGAGGTCCCTTTAAGGATGAGGTCAGCCTGGTCTGGTCAAAGACAGAAGTGTATCCCCTTCCCCTGGGCAGTCTGCAACACCTCATCCCCCAGAATGGGCTCTGTTGCTCGGACGCAGGGACGCCAGTGTGAAACCTTTATATAGCGAATGTGGCGCATGCGCGGATCGCGGCCACCATATTACTGCAGTCCGTGATCTTACCGCGCATACGCAAGCGCCATTTTACTGTGGATCCTCAAATGCAGGTGAAGTAAAGAAAAAAACATTTGTATTCATCCGGATATTTACGAAGACTTAAAATGCTTTATCAAACACCAGACATTAATAAAGGCTGGCGAATCCATGATATGTTATGAAATTGAGGAAGTATAGATGGAAAATACAGATCTGGAGATAATGCACGAATGCGTAGTACGAATGAACATTACAGTACGAATTTAATATTGCTGCAAAAGATTGTAGAGACACGGTCTGTATGCATAACATACATGAAAGACCGCCTAATTACATTGTATATTATATGCATGATAGGGCTATTGCGAAGTAATCCTAAGAAATACATATATTTCTATAAATATAAAGGTATAATTCATATGGTCAACCAGATAAGACAGAATAATAAAAACCTCCAATTCATCATAAAGAACTTAAAATAGAAGAATCAAACATAGTGGGTCAAAAATTAACATATTGGATCTAAAACCATAAAATCCAAATGTCAATTAATATAAATTCATCGTTAAAATTAATAATTAATAAATTAATGATATCATCAGACCACAAAAACATCAAAGTTTACATAGAGTAGTAGGCAGTTACCGTTAAACATTGTTAAATATAGGCTGAACAACTGAGTGGTATGTCCAAAAAATAATAATAATATGGCTAAAAAGGGGGGATAGTATAGCTAAAAAGGAGAATAAGATAGCTATACGCTGCTATTTAAGTATAAAACGCATTACAAATGAACATTAAATATAATCTTATCTATAAAATTATATTTATAAAATTTGCAATGATGATTCAAAACATATAGTAAAAAAAATAGTAAAAAAAATATAGTAAAAAAGCGCGAGGTTATAAAAATGCGCATAAATATTACATAAAAAGTATATAAAAAAGGGTTATAAAAAGATGGAATGAATAGGTAAAAATATGGAGATGAACATAATCAACTATTGTCTATAAAGCAATTTAAATCCATGTCAACATTGAGTCCCTTAGGATGAAAGGTACCCATCTCAAAAATCCATTTAGATTCTGTGAGACAGCCCTTCTCTTGTTTGTTCCTCTCCATTGTGCTTTAATAATATTAATGCCCGCAAAAGTCAAGGAGGAAGGATCTCTGTTGTGGTGTACCCTATAATGCTTGGAAAGCAAATGATCTTTAAAACCGCTCTTATACACATTATATACGTGTTCCCTCAACCTATCCTTCAGCCTCCTCGTTGTGCTTCCAATATATTGCTTACCACACGGACATGATAACAAGTAAACAACGAATCTGCTTTTACATGAAATAAAGTTATCAATCTTGTACGCTTTCCCTGTGGAGTTGACGTGAAAGAGCTAATTTTCCTTTTCCATTGGCTATTACATAAACATATGACACACTTATTACATGGGTAAAACCCTGTCATTTCTGAAAAGAAAGTAGAGGTGAGAGGGGGATTCGCAACATTAGGGGCTATTTTATTTCTTAGTGCCATCGTTTTTCTGAACGTGACCTCTGGTTTATCAGGTAGGATATTTCCCAGAATAGGATCGGCCTTAAAAATACCCCAGTTTTTATTGAGAATTCTAGTGACCATTTTATGTTGGACGTAGAAGGTGTTAATGAATGGACAGATTTTAGGTTGTCTCTGTTTAACTTCATTGTTCAACATTTCATCCCTATTAATGTCTGCCACCTGTTGTAATACTCGATCTAGTTCTGATGCCTCATAGCCCTTTCTAAGAATCTCTCTTTTAGTATTGAGGCTTTAGTGTAATAGGCATCAAGGTTAGTGCAATTTCTCCTGATCCTAAGGAACTGATCCTTGGGAATGTATAATAAACCAGGCTGGGTGGTGACAATTGTTCATTGGGATGTAACTGTTTCAGGCCGTATTCTTAAAATAGGACTCTGTGATAATATTACCTTCTCTGTTAAATAGTGTTAAGTCCAGGAAATTGATCTCCTGTGTACTATACTCAAACGTCAATTTAATATTCAGATTGTTAATGTTTAAAGTGCCGAAAAAGTTTTAAAGTGTTTGTTCATCTCCATCCCATAATAAAAAGATATCATCAATATAGTGTCTATAAAAGGAGAGCTCGGGCCAGTCTCTAGCATAAATAATGTCTTCCTCCCACCTGGCCATGAACAGATTAGCCAGGCTGGAAGCAAACTTAGCCCCCATTGCTACTCCTTTGGTCTGTAGATAAAATTTGTTATTGAACCAAAAATAGTTCATCATTGCAAACAAGTAATTCTAGAATAAAATCTCTCTGTATAATAGGCATTTCCATAAAACCATCCAAATAAAATTTAACCGCCTCCATCCCATCTTTGTGTGATTGATATTAGTATAGTATATTGATATTAGATATTAGAAAGGACACATCCACAGTGACCAAAAAGGTATTGGGTCCCAGGGGTAAATTGCTAACATCCCTAAGCATCTGTTTGGTGTCCTTCAGGTATGATGGAGTGTCAGTGACCAGTGGCTGTAAAGAATAATCTATATATTGTCCTACTGTAGAACAAAGTGAGTGTCAGGGCTCCCGGTAAGATCAGAGATGCGTGAACTGACACAGGGAATCGCAGGCTCAAGTATGGTGTAACAATATAATTTATTAAGGGTTATACACAAATATAACGCACAATATAACAAAACCAAACCTCCAACTGATAACGGAATGTACACAGATAAGAGCAGTCAGGGCTGACGAGATGGAGTGGTCAGGCGGGCTGGGTCAGGAATCATCGGGCAGACAAGACACAAAGGAGTAGGCAGAGCGTAGTCAGATGGTCCGGGTCAGGAACAATCAGGCAGACAAGGTACCAAAAGGAGCAGGCTGGAGAGTGGTCAGGAATAGCCGAGGTCACGACAGGCGGAGTTCATTCAGGGTCAGGATCAAGCAGAATCGGGAATCAGGCAGGAAGCAGACAGGATGCTGGTACAGGGGCTCATGGGAAACATACACCAAGGCACTGACTGCAGGTCTGGCCATTCCTTAAATACACTTCCTGCAATCAGCCTCAGGTGATGGCTGACTGCAGAAGTGAGCTTCTGGTTGCTAAGAGTACCCGCTGGCCAGCCCTGGTACTGCAGCCCACAAGGCAGGTGAGTCCCACCACCATTAGCAAGTCCATTCCTGACAGTACCCCACCCTCAAGGAGCGGCCTCAGGAAGCTCCAAACAGTCCGTAATGGCCCAAATGTTCCACCGCCTGGGTCTGGCAACTGGCTGGACATCCCACTGCCGGAATCAAGTGATTGGCTGGGTCTCCTGCTGATAGGCCTATCTTTTTGCAGGAGACCGCAGGAAGGCAGATTGCTGGACACAGGATTTGCAGAAGCAGGCTGGGCATCAGGAGCCGGTACATCAGGCTGGGCAGCCGGCAGAGGCACGTCAGGCTGGGCAGCAGGCAGAGGCACGTCAGGCTGGGCAGCAGGCAGAGGCACGTCAGGTTGGGCAGCAGGCAGAGGCACGTCAGGTTGGGCAGCAGGCAGAGGCACGTCAGGCTGGGCAGCAGGCAGAGGCACGTCAGGCTGGGCAGCAGGCACCGAGTCATCTGGCACGACAGCGGGCACCGAGCCATCTGGCACGACAGCGGGCACCGGGTCATCTGGCACGACAGCGGGCACCGGGTCATCTGGCACGACAGCGGGCACCGGGTCATCTGGCACGACAGCGGGCACCGGGTCATCTGGCACGACAGCGGGCACCGAGTCATCTGGCACGACAGCGGTCACCGAGTCATCTGGCACGACAGCGGGCACCGAGTCATCTGGCACGACAGCGGGCACCGAGTCATCTGGCACGACAGCGGGCACCGAGTCATCTGGCACGACAGCGGGCACCGAGGCCGGACCACGGGCACCGAGGCATCAGGCTGGATCGGGTCATCAGGCTGGATCACGAACACCGGGTCATCAGGCTGGATCGGGCCATCAGGCTGGATCGGGCCATCAGGCTGGATCGGGCCATCAGGCTCGTTAGTGGGCACCAGGTCATCAAGCTGGATAGGATCATCAGGCTGGATCATGAACACCGGGTCATCAGGCTGGATCGGGTCATCAGGCTGGATCGGGTCATCGGGCTGGATCGGGTCATCGGGCTGGATCGGGTCATCGGGCTGGATCGGGTCATCGGGCTGGATCGGGTCATCAGGCTGGATCATGAACACCAGGTCATCAGGCTAGATCAGGCCATCAGGCTGGATCGGGTCATCAGGCAGGATAGCGGGCACTAGATCGTCAGGCTGGGTAGGAACATTAGGTCGGGTAGCGTACACTGGGTCATTGGGCATCAGGGTATCAGGCTGAATTGCGGGCACCGGGGCACTAGGCTCTCAGACGGCAGGCTGACCGGTTTGGATACTGGCAGGATGGTACTGGTTGGAAAGAATTTTCGCCTTTTCCTGGTTTTAGTTACTGGAGCACTGTAAGTAAGCGCAGGTTTGTAAACGGATAGAGCAGCTGTAGGCAAAGAAGATCTGGGGGATGGAACAAAGGAGGGAGCAGTTGCTACAGAGGACTTCTTTACAGGGTTGAAGGCAGGATAGGTGCAGCGAGTGGGAGCAGGGTACTGACATGTGGTAGCTAGCAGGGTATACTGGGCTGTCATCTGGGGTGCTGTCGGGAGTGCAGGAAGAAAGCTTTGAGCAGAGGAATGATGAGAAGCAGGACTGGTTTGTTGCAAGCTGACTGAGGCTGGGTGTAACAAGTCTGACCAGGACTGTAGTATGGGTTGAACACATCTCCGCTTACACATAGCCTGTCTGACCAAAGACTGCACTGCGTCTATACACTCCACTAGCACATGAGATGGACAAGCTGCATAATGCTCATGGGGAAGCAATCTGGATCCTCCTCCAACAACCATACCAGCGATTCCACTTGATTTGCACTGAATGGGGGAAAAAAGTCATCCCTGCTTTCAGGGGTACTAGCTGAAGCCAACTCCACACAAGCCTGAATTAATGGTTGCACCTCAGAGAACTCTGTGCCCTGATCTACCAGGGAATGCGCGACCCCTATGCATTGTAGCAGCTGATCCCTGGTATACTCCTGCAGAGTCTCATAGGCATATTCTTTGTCATCAAAGACTAGCAGACACAAGTATATAACCTCCTCCGGATGCATCCTTCACAACAATAAGCCAAGATGGCTTCCCTGTGCAGCCACTTCTGGTCAGGAATGGCCGTGTAATGTCAGGGCTCCCGGTAAGACCAGAGATGCGTGAACTGACACAGGGAAACGAAGGCTCAAGTATGGTGTAACAATATAATTTATTAAGGGTTATACACAAATATAACGCACAATATAACAAAACCAAACCTCCAACTGATAACGGAATGTACACAGATAAGAGCAGTCAGGGCTGACGAGATGGAGTGGTCAGGCGGGCTGGTCAGGAATAGCCGAGGTCAGGAAAGGCAGAGTTCATTCAGGGTCAGGATCAAGCAGAATCAGGAATCAGGCAGGAAGCAGACAGGATGCAGGTACAGGGGCTCATGGGAAACATACACCAAGGCACTGACTGCAGGTCTGGCCATTCCTTAAATACACTTCCTGCAATCAGCCTCAGGTGATGGCTGACTGCAGGAGTGAGCTTCGGGTTGCTGAGAGCACCCGCTGGCCAGCCCTGGTACTGCAGCCCACAAGGCAGGTGAGTCCCACCACCATTGGCAAGTCCATTCCTGACAGTGAGCCTATTCCACTAACAATTGGCCTACCAGGTGGGTTCACAGGATCTTTATGAATCTAGGGCAATATATATAGTACTGGTAGCCTGGGAACAGAAGGACAGGATAGTAGAAGCAGCACCCCAAAAGACCCCTTTTTGGAAAGTAGACACTCCAAGGTATTTGTTAAGAGGCATGGTGAGTACTTTGCAGATCTCATTTGCTGCTTCAAGTTTTTGGAATATGAAGAAAATGAAAATCTATTTTTCTTTTATTCTTTTTCAAAAACCCTGTGACAAAAATGATATCTGTAAAATACTCACCATGCCGCTTATTAAATTCCTTGGGGTGCCTACTTTCCAAAAAGGGATTATTTGGGGGGGGGGGGGGGGGGGGGGGGAGAGGGTGTTTGTACTATCCTGGAATTTTAGGGCCGCCGAAAATGTGATCTGTAATGAGGAAGTGATATGATGAAGAAAGATGCGCTTTAAAAGCCTGGAGGTGGTCATTAGATTTTGGGGGCATGTGGCTAGGCTGCCAAGAAGTTTCACGTGGTATCCCCATACTAGGGAGAAGCAGCAGGACGTGTTTTGGGGTGTTATTCCACATATAGTCATATGGCATGCATGAGCAATATATCATTTAACTGACAACTTTGAATAAAAAAAAGTAATTTTCCAAAAATTTGTGGCAAAAAATAAAATGTTCCATGGACTCAACATGCCTCTCACAAATTTCTTGTGGTGTCTACTGTCCAAAAAAGGTTAATTTGGGATTTTTTTTGTACTTTCCTGGCATTTTAGCACCTTAAGAAATGTGATAGGCAGTCAGAAAGTAAAAGCTGCGTAAATTCCAATATATATATATATATATATATATATATATATATATATATATATATATATATATTAGTTTGTAGACGCTATAACTTTCACACAAACCAATTTATATACATTAGAATTTTTTTTTTACCGAAGAATACAAAAGTAAAAAAAAAAATGTTTTTTTTTCAAACACTTTGGTCTTTTTTCATTTATAGCACAAAAAAAAAAAAAAAAAAAACATTGGTGATCAAATACCACCAAAGGAAAGCTCTATTTGTTTGAAAAAAAGGACATACATTTTGTTTGGGTACAGCATTGCATGACTGCACAATTACCCTTTGAAATAGTAAAAAAATGGCCTGGTCATTAAGTGCAAGTGGTTAAAGTTTGCTGCACAACATTTAAACAAACCTGTGAAATATTGATAGAATATAGTCTGGTCAGATGAGACCAAAATTGAACTCTTTGGATGCCATAATACACACCATGTTTGTAGGTCAAATGGCACTGCACATCACCCCAACAACACCATACAACAGTGAAGTTTGGAGGTGGGAACATCATGGCGTGGGGCTGTTTTTCAGCATATGGTATTGGCAAACGTCATATCATTCAAGGAAACGTGAATAGAAAAAAGACATTCTTGATAAAAATCTGCTGCCATCTACCAGCATGATGAAGATGAAACAAGGGTGGACATTTCAGCAAAATAATGATCCCAAACACAAAGCCAAGGAAACTCTCACTTGGTTTCAAATAAAGGAAAACAAAGGTGCCAGAATGGCCCAGCCAATCACCTGACTTGAATCCAATAGCAAATCTACGGAAAGAACTAAAGATCAGAATTAATAGAAGAGGCCCCGGAACCTTAAAGATTTTAAAAATGTTTGTATGGAAGAATGGGCCAAAATGACATCTGAACAATGCTGAGACATAGCTGTCAGGGATGCGGGTATGACCAGAAGTGTGTGGACTGACACAGGGAAACGCAGGCTCAGATATAGTAAATAATATAATTTATTAAGACTAACAATACAAACGCAGTGCAAAACTAAACAAACACAGTGCAAACAAAACTGAACCAAACCTCCAACAGATAACAAACATACAATACAAGAGTAGTCAGACAGACCGGGTCGGTAGCAAACGGGCAAACGGAGTACCAGGAGCAGGCGGGAGAGTGGTCAGGACTAGCCGAGGTCAGTACAGGCAGAGTTCAAGCAGAGTCAGGACAGAAGTAACAGGATCAGGAAACCAGGGCCAAGCAAACAGTACAACAAGGCACTGACTGCAGGTCTGGCCATCTCTTAAATACACCACCTGCAATCAGCCCCAGGTGGTGGCTAATTGCCGGAGTGAGCCTCTGGTTGTTGAGAGCACCCGCTGGCCAGTCCTGGTACTGCAACCCACAAGGCAGGTGAGTCCCACCACTACTGGCGAGTCCATTCCTGACAATAGCACGTGGACGGAACACTTTATGGATCATAAATTTGGAGGCTACATAGTCCTTTAACCACCTCCCGACCGCCATATAATCCAATGATGGGCGCAAGGTGGTTCTCTCGTTCTGGGAGGACGTCATATAACGTCTTGCCATTCTCAGCGTGCAGCGCGGCGATCGGCGGTGCGCTGTGTCCCTCGGACACAGCGAATCACTGATCTATGGAAAGAGCCGAAGATGTCGGCTCGGTCATGTGATCAGCTGTGTCCAATCACAGCTGATCACATGTAAACAGGGAAATGCCAGTTATCGGCATTTCTCTTCTCACGAGCTGTCACGCTGACTGATCGAGAGGAGAGGAGAGTCGGTAATCGGCATTCCGCGGAGGGGACATGTACACTGATCATCAGGGCACTGATGATCAGTGTGCCTTGATGATCAGTGTGGCCCCAGAAGTGCCACCTGTCCGTGCTGAACAGTGGCACATGCCAATGCCCATCAGTGCCTACCAGTGCACATCAATGCCACATATCAGTGCCCATCTGAGCTGCCTTTCAGTGTCACCCATCAGTGTCAGTCAGTGCCACCTATCAATGCCAATCAGTGCCACCTATCAGTGCCAGTCAGTGCCGCCTATCAGTGTGCATCAGTGCCCGGCAGTGCCACCTAACAGTGCCAGTCAGTGCCACCTAACAGTGCCAGTCAGTGCCGCCTATCAGTGTGCATCAGTGCCCGCCAGTGCCACCTAACAGTGCCAGTCAGTGCCACCTAACAGTGCCAGTCAGTGCCGCCTATCAGTGTCCATCAGTGATGCCTGTCAATGCCCATCAGTGCCACCTACCAGTGCCTCCTCATCAGTGTCCATCAGTGCAGCCTATCAGTGCCCATCACTGCAGCCTCATTAGCGCACATCAGTGAAGGACAAAAATCACTTATTTACAAAATTTTACAACAAAAACTAAGAAAAAACGTTTTTTTTTTTTTCCAAAATTTTCAGCGGTTTTTGGTTTAAGAAAAAATAAAAAACCCAGAGGTGATTAAATACCACCAAAAGAAAGCTCTATCTGTCACAAAAAAAATGATAAAAATTTCATATGGGTACAGTGTTGCATGACCGCACAATTGTCATTCAAAGTGTGACAGCGCTGAGAGCAGGAAATTGGCCTGACCAGGAAGGGGTATAAGTGCCCTGTAGGCAAGCAGTTAAAAGCGTGTTTGGCCTATTATAATTTATAGGTCAAAACTCAAGGTGAGCAGGTAGTGGAGCCACAATTCAAGCACAGCGATGAATATTGCTGGATAATAGCACAACATATGTTGGATTGGACTGTTATCTCACAATTTTGAAGTTTCTTTGGACTGTCACTGCATGTTTATTTAGAGCTTATGTTTTCATTATATGAGGAGGTAGCGCATCACATTTTTATTTAACCACTTCCCTACCAGGCACTTATACCCCCTTATTTACCAGGCCAATTTTCAGCTTTCAGTGCTGTTGCACTTTGATTGACAATTGCGTGGTCATGCAAGATTGTACCCATATGAAATTTTTATCATTTTTTTCTCACAAATAGAGCTTTCTTTTGGTGGTATTTAATCACTGCTGGGCACTTTACTTTTTGTGCTATAAGCAAAAAAAATGCAAAGAAATTTGAAAAAAAAAAAAAAAGTTTCTTTGTTTCTATTATAAAATTTTTCAAACAGGTAATTTTTTTGCTCCTTCACTGATGTGCGTTGATGAGGCAGCACTGATGGGCACTGATAGGCAGCACTGAAGGGCACTAATGAGGTGTCACAGATAGGTGGCACTGATATGCAGCACTGATAGGCGACACTGAGAACGGGTACTGATAGACAGCACTGACTGACATCACTGCTGGACTCTGACTGGCGGCACTGCCTGGCTGCACTGCTGGGCACAGGTGGGTGGCACTGGTGGGTGGCACTGGTGGACACAGGTGGGTGGGCACAGGTGGGTGGCACTACTGGGCACAGGTAGGTGGCACTTCTGGGCACAGGTGGTGACACTGCTGGGTGGCACAGGTGGGCGCACTGCTGGGTGGCACAGGTGGGCGTACTGCTGGGCACAGGTGGGCGGAACTTGTGTGTGGCACTGCTGGGCACCGATCATCAGGGCACTGATGATCAGTGACCCTGATGATCGGTGCCGATCCCCGCTCTGACAACTGCCGGTTTTCGGCAGTACTTTCCTCACGAGCTGACAGCGTGAGGAAAGTGCAGCCGAGAACCGGCATTTGCATTTCCCGGTGATCAGCGTGTCATTGGACACGGCTGATCATGTGGTAAAAGGCCGCTGTGATTGGCCTTTTACCACGTCACACGATCAGCTGTGTCCTTAGGACACAGCGATCACGGAGATCGCCGGGGGTCGCGCAGGAGAGCGCATTCTGGGTGGACGTCATATGACGTCCACCCAGAACTGGCCGGCCGCAGTGCAGCCATCATTCGGCTATCTGCGGTCGGCAAGTAGTTAATTTGAGTGTTAGTGTCAGATCAGTGAGTGCAGCAATCTCCTCCTTCCGTTAATGCATTTGTGGTATAGCAACGCACTAGCATTTATAATGCGCGTGACTAGTTTCTCCATACAGGAGGGGTTTTTGAAGCTGTCATTACCAACAAAGGATTTTGTATGAAGTATTAAATACATTTCAGTTAGCATGTTCAATACTTTTTCCCTGCATCATTCTTAATTTCTAAACTTATTTGTTGTACAAGCCACCCTTATCAGAATTCTTTATTTCTAAGGAGCAGTCCTCACTTAACCTCCCCAAAGATTGCCTTTCCTTGGAGTTCAGTATGCATCCACCAGACACAACATGTGAGGCCAATCTCGTCAATTCCTGCTCAGTCAATTTCTGAAACCAATCCATCTCTTTACCGCTCTCTCGATTAGATAGTTGTAAGGGAAAATGGAGCAGCCATTTTAGATATAAATATGAAATACATTGGTATTGAATTAGATGGCCTAACAACCTATTTATTTTTCCTTGTTTCTGTATGAGAAAACAACAGTTTCACACCTCATGCCCTCTCCTGCTGGCTCAACATTTGGCACTTCACTTCTACTTCCAGTTCAGCAGCATTCACACCACCTATTGTCTACAAGATTATTGTCACAGCCTTTGAAGACCTGTTAAACTCAAAGCACACTGGAAGTAACAGTAACATGTGGACAACTATTCGCATCTCAATGAGTTACACCAAAGACACAGATGGCTCTTGAGAGAATGACCAGATAGTCAGGTACCACCCATTGGAAAAGCATATAAATTGTATTAGAGGGCCCTAGTTAGACAGAGCTTTACTTTGAATCCAACACCATGTATTGTTCTGCTCTCCCTGCATGGAGGTCTAGCTACATGCTTGTATAATAAACATCTACTTTTCAATCTGGCTTCAGCAGTCAAAATGTTACTGGAACCCATGAGTTTTGGGTTTCCCTGTCAATAGTGTAAAAGTCCAAATGTGCCCTAAAGTTGAAAAGGACCATAGATCCCTGTTCTTACTCCAAGCTAGCACGAGACTCATAAGCCAAAATTGGAAAGATCACATAAATTGCACTGGTCCCTGAAATCTAGTTTAAGATCCATTTGTTCTTTATTCATATTGTTTTCATTGAGTTTCTTAATATCCCCAAAGTAACGTTTATGTAAAGTAAGGGAGCGTACACATTTATTGAGATCTGAAATAGTGTCAAACAAACTAAAGTTTAACCTCTTAGAGAGCACCGCAACATCTGCCTCTGTCAGTGCCCTCTGGGATAGGTTTTAGGACATTGCTTAGTGTCTCTGTTGTTTCCTTAGGGGATAAAGATCTCTACCATCTATGTTGTCATCCTTTCTTTTTTCCACCTCGTTGAGTTTTCTTCTATTTCTTCTCATCCACTTTTTCTTGTTTTCAGTCCCCTGCTCTTCGTATAAATGTGGTTGCTGTGCCTGGCCAGAGCCAAGTGCATCCCTCTCACTGGAGGCTGAAGAGGAGTCAGCTACTTACATAGCCAGGGTTTGATTAAGGCTCTGTTCACACCTAAGCATATTACGTTTTGTCTGTTTTGCAGTGCTTTTCGCAGATTGTTTTTCTACACGTGCTTTTGACGCGTTTTGATGCTTTTTGACGTGTTTTTAACATGTTTTTTCGTATTTTTTGGGGTTAAAGTGGAATTTTTTTTGTTGCTGGGCAGAATAAAAATGTGTCAAAAAAACACTACCATGCAATTCAGCAGCTTCTCCATTGAACTCTATTATAGCAAAAAAGCTGCTTTTGCTTTTAAAAAAGTCCCTGACCCTTTCCAAAAACACAGCAGCTCAAAAAAGCATAGATGTGAACATGTTCCATAGGAAAGCATGTTAAATTGACTGTAGCGTTTCTTCAAAAAGCACTAAAAATGCATTGGTGTGAACAGAGCCTAAAGATTTTGTCCTTTGTCTCTGAAAAGCTGACCCTTTTCATAATCCCCATCAGATTTATTCCTTTTGCCTTTATTCTTATTTTGTTTTTACTATACATCCTAAATTGTTGGGGTTTCCTCCAAACATATATTAGTTTGGATTTATAATCCAATCTACCGCGAAGCAGCTTTTCCTTTTTTCCAGCTATAACTTTCATTTTATTAAGTCTCTTATTGAGCTACGTATCTAAATTCTCAAATATAGGTATATCTTTGCAAGGCATGATCTCTTTTTGTAACTTAGTGATCTCTCCTTGCAGTCTTTTAAGCACCTGTGTCTTAGATGAGATAATCTGCATTAATGCAAAAGAGCTTACTGACAAAGTGTCAGTCCATTCCATCTTCAAATCATCTGAAGCCAACTCAAAGGTGGGAAACCTCCTAAAGCACAGACCTCGAGGAATCCTCTCCAAAACCAAATATTCTGTTAATATACACTTGTCCCAATAAGACTTCATCGCCTTAATCCTTCGGCGTTCAAACTTCCGATACTACAATCAAAAGTTCCAGTCGATCAATGTGTGTGGGGTGATCTAGAGACATATCACCTGGAGTGGCTTTATAATATACAAAGAAAAATATAACCTTTACTATTACTTTAAGGCCTGAGAATATCACATCATAGATATACTATTTATAATTGTAAAATAACTTATTCCACGCTCCTTTTTTTAAAATTTTTCTAGAAAAAAAACTTTCAGAGAAAAAGTGTTTCGGGTTTTTTTTCCATTTTTTTCCCCAGGTCTTCCCATCTCTAGGCAGGATAGCCAAGCTGCAGGTGAGGAGGACGCTGTGGCATTGTGAGTGCTGGAGGTGACAGGTGTGATCAGGCCATTTGTATGGTGTATGGCAGTGATTTTGTGAGCACTGGGACAGGTGCTGGCTGCATTTTTTATTTGTAATACCCTAGGGCAGTGGTCGGCAAGCCACGGCTCGCGAGCCACATGCGGCTCTTTACACGCTTTAATGCGGCTCTTGTGTGCCGGGCGCCCGCTCCCCTCCCTCCTCTCAGGCGGCAGGGACTCTGCAGCGTGATCCAAAAAAAAAAACAGCCACGGCAGCGCGCTCAAATGCAATGATTGGCCAGTCTCGCTGCCACTCACATCCTGATAGCCAGTGATTGGCTGTCAGGATGTGTGTAGGTGGGGCAGCGTGACGAACGTGAGAGGAGCTAGGCTCCTCTCACAGTCCGCCCTGAAGACCGGAACGGCGCGGGAACACGGCGAGAGGAACGCGCGGAGCAAAGGTAAGTGAATTGACACAGGGGAGACTTGGCTTACTACTTGCTACTTACTTACTACTACTATAT